GCAAACTGATATGAGCGAATTCAATAAAGTAATGAGACACACGGTCCACATTTTTAAGACATCATTATCAAGGAAAATTGATCATAGACCACGTATTTGATGATGTTAAACATTTATATCTAATTCTGGTGATATAATAGCAGTTTTTAAAATTCCATTTATTTTAGAAAAATTATGAATGAAATGACATCTAAAATTTGCTTTTAAGTGTTCCAGCACTGAGAGAGATTGAGAGAGGAAGGAAAGGAAAGGAAGAGAGAAAGGGAGGGAAGGAAGGAGGGGAGGGGAAGGGAAGAGTGGACGAGATAGATGAAACAAGATGTAAGTACAGCAGGTCCTTGAACAATGTTGTTTTGCTTAATGACATTTGGTTATAATGTTGATGAGGAAAAAAAAAAAAAAGAAGATTCCCGGTCCGGGCCACCGTCTGTGTGGAGTCTGCTTGTTCTCCCCACATTTTTGTGGGTTTTCTCTGGGTTCTCCAGGCATATTTCAGTTTTCTCCCACATCCCGAAGCTGTGCACAGTAGGTGAATTGGTTTGTCTAAATTGTGCGTGCGTGCGTGTGTGTGTATCCTGCGATGATGGGACAGTGTCCTGCCCAGGGCTGGTTTTGGACTTGCCCCCTGAGCTTCAGGGACAGGCTCCAGCCACCCCACAAGCCTGAACTGGAATAAGTGGGTAAATCATCTTACTTGTTTTTATTAATCTTTCCTAAATGTATGTACAGCTCATGCTTACTTCAATGTTTAATATTAGAAGAGTTTGGGGTCTTTATTTAGAAGTTTGGTGATGTTTTGTGATCAGAAACATCCCACAGGAACTTAACTCTTGTTTAAATCAATTAGCCCATGGAACAACTAGTTTCACTGTACATCATCTCAGTTAAAGTCACAGTTTCTAGGAACCTCTCTACGACCTTAAGTGACGACTTAATGTATTGTTCAAGTTTGGCAGGAGGTATAACATAGGTATTAATGACAACATTCTCTTTCCTATACTTCAGAATTTTACAGTAAAAAAGTTCTTAAAAAGTTAAACGCAAAGACAAAAAGTTTTTTAAAAAGCAATATAACAATACAAAATGAAGACACTGCAGTGGTTCTCAAAGCCAGATGACATGTTGCCTCAGAACCCCCTGGAACTAACTAGAAATGCAAGTTCTCATCTCAGATTTACTAAATGAGAAACTGGGAATGGGGAGGAAACTCTGGGCAACAATCTCTAAGTTTAACAAACGCAACAGGTTATTCTGACCCATGTTCAAGTTTGAGAAACAATGTTCTAGAGAGGATCACAAAGCCAGACCCTAGGTCTTTGAAAAGCTTAATAATAGAGAAATGTCTGGCATAAAGGATGAAGGAAAAAAAGAAAACATTAGAAATGCTAACAATAAAAAAGAACCATAACCGTCAACACAGAAGTGATTATACTTTAAAATGAATAAATGAAAAAGCTAGATGTTTTCTAAATCTATACATAAAAATGTGCTAAATGAACTTAGCAGTAAACAAGTATAAGGTGTGTATCTCACATATTTAAAAAGAAAGAATAAGGGGCCATAAAGCATCACCAAATATAATCTTTATATACTTTTTCATCTTCTAAAATGGATATATATTGTTTTCATAAGAACAATCACTCTAGTAAATATGGAACAGACACTTATGTTGCCTGACAGACAACCTTCAGCTGTTTTTAAAAGACTTCACTACATACATCATTGAGATCTGGCAGTTTGATAGCTTTCAGTACCTATCTTTAGAAAAGAGTGTACCGGCTTATGTTGGCTAGATCCAATCATAGATTAAAAAGCAATTGCCAGCCGGGCGCGGTGGCTCACGCCTGTAATCCTAGCACTTTGGGAGGCCGAGGCGGGCAGATTGTTTGAGCTCAGGAGTTCGAGACCAGCCTGGGCAAGAGCGAGACCCCGTC